ACACACACACACACACACACACACACAGAGAGAGAGAGAGAGAGAGAGAGAGAGAGAGAGAGAGAGAGGAAAAGAAGCATATTCCACTCGGAGGTTCATTGAGCTCTGCTTTCAGTTCGTGTTCCTGAATCGAAAACCATTGCATTCTGTCCTCATTATTTATAACCTGAAATAGAAAGCCATGTAAGGCCTGCAGATCATTGGAGTGGCAGGCAGAGGTAGCCAAAGATGTGATCTGTGCTAACATAAGCCTACTGCAGAGACCAGAAGGCCCCATTTCTGTAATAAATTTCTGGAAAGAATGTGACATTGTAAGAAGCCAACCTGGACTTTCCAGCTGGGTGACCTGAGGAAGCCTCTTAGGGGCCCATATCTTATCTGCAGGAAGAAGGGGCTGAAGCAGCTCTAGACCCCTCCTAGGTTTCACATTCTCGGTTCTTCACCTAGGAAAAAGCTCTCGCTTCCATCAGGCACGAGTGTACGGTTTATTAAATATTGATAAACAGAATATTAGAGAAAATGAGAAGAGTATTCAGGTTTATGGGCCAAAGAGGTCACCGAGATTAAAAATTAATATTTATGTTTAAATGTGGACATATTTTATGTGCATATATAATACATGTATGCTTATATCTAGAGAAACAAGACCCTGAAGAAAGTGGCTGGCCACGGGATGCAACAGATCAGTGACAGATACAGGTCTAAAGCAGAGGTTTTCTAACCCCTGGCAGGGTAATTTGCCCACTGGCCCTGTGTATATCTTCCATGCCACTAGAGAGCTGGGAGATTTGATAAGATTCATGGCTAATCAGCTCCATGTGTACCGTGCTTCCTTTCCCCCACCACCGTCAATATTGTGTTAGAAAAAAAACCCTATATGTTCTGGCGACAGCCTGAATCTTCTTTTAAATGGGAGTCCTAAGAACTCACCCCCTGCCTTTAATACTAACTCTGCATGTAAATTCGCGGAAGGATAATATCCTGAGATCATTTTTCAGAGGTGCTGAAAGGAACCCATTTAATGGAAGGAGCTAAAGGAGAGGAAGCTCTCTGACTTCTCCCACTGGGCTGCTGTGGGATGGGGAGCCTCACACACACAGTGGCAGTTGGCCTGGGAAGGAGGAGTTCCCAGCTCCAGCCTAGCTACCACCCTGGGCAAATAGTTGCCTTCTTGGGTCTCAGCTTCTGCAAGAAATGCCAGAAATTGAAGTGGGTCAATTTAGTGAACCTTAACTGTTCTGGGATGTTCCTTGACCCAATCCCTGAAGCAATTTATCTGAACTTTTAGCCAACTATCTGCTTCTCTCTGCTGGATAATTTAAAAAGAAAGGAAGGAAAGGAGGACAGAATGAAGAAAATCGGGATAATTGTCTAGATAATAGAAGTTAAAAAAAAGGTTTTGGACTCATGTTGCTTAGACAAAAATTTAAAAGTGGATTGACAGGTTGTGGCCTTCATTTGGTTAGCTTAGTATTTATTTGATAAATAGAAAGACTTTCTACATTGGGAGCCATGTGCTGTGGTAGAGAGGTACAGCCAGTGTATCTTGACCTTAAAGAGTGACTGACAACAGGGAAGTGTGTTTCTGCAGAAGAAAACCCTGCTCTGCCACAGTCCCTTCTGGGTCTTGATCGAGTTACAACCTCTCTACCTTGTCCTTGTCCAGAGAGACAGCCCATCCTCAAAGTCCCTTCCCAGTGGAGATTTTGTTTCTGAAATGCCTCGGCATAGCCCTAACCGCCTCATGTAAAGGCAAAATAATGCTCTCCTCGGTAACCCGAGTCCGCAGTTCCCTCCCATCTGGGGAGGAAAAGAAAAGCGGGGCGGTGGGAGATTGAAAGAAAAGAGAAAAAATACTGAGAAACATGTTTTGGCAGACAAGGCCTTCGGAGACTACCATGTGCGCTCCATATTGAGCAAGCCCAGGTCTTTGAAGTTTTTCTGAATGTAAAAGCATTATTCTTTCTCAAACTGTGGCTAAGTAGTACAGACGTTAAAACAATGAGGCTAGAAGGCGCAGACGCGGGACTAAGTGTTTAATTCGTCCTTCACCCAAGTGCCTGCCACCAGCTAGCCCTCTGGTATGCAGCCAGGCAGCAGGCAGGCCTGCCAACCCCTGTGCCCCGTCTTCAGACCCAGGTTTGTCTGGGTCCTACAACACCTTAGCTCCAAGTTCGGAAGTAAGTACTTTCCCAAGCGCCAGGAGAAAACTTCCCAGATGTTTCCTGTGCTACGGAAAGCAACCCAGGTTGGATCTGAAACATTTTTCTTACAACCGCACGACGGCAGGTCATAAGGCCCGCCAGCCACCCCGCGAGTCCGGCTCCTCTGCTAACAGCGGGGTGCGCCCCAACTTCTGCTCGCCCAAGTCTCGCACCCATCTCGGATCACTGGGAGCTTCCCGCAGAGAGGGACACAGAGGGCGGGGGCACACGGGACGTTTTATTATGTGTGGAATTATGATCTCTAGTACATGCACTCTAGAATGTATGGTGAGGCTTTTTAGTCATCGGGCTCCCATTATAAATTCTTTCCATTAGCATGCATTCTTCTAGCCCACTGTAGGGTAGACCGGCAGCTTAACTAAAACCAAAGACTAACTGCACTCGTGGTTGCCATTTCTCTACCCTCAATCAGTCAGTGTAGATTCCAGAAGAGGATGGGACAGGCGCAGCATGGGGGTCACAAACTCGGCTTTACACACGAAGGCAGCACAGGTCTTCAAGAAAAGAGGGCAGCGAGCTCCAGGTGCTTCCGGGTCTAAGCAAGCACTTCCGGGCTGTGTGCGCCACCCTGCTTAGCCACAGAGCTGTGGTTGGATTATCCCACTTAGTGAAGGATTTTGCTCTCTGAGGGCTTGGTAACCATTGTGTCCCAATACTGTCCCGGTGGACACCAGAGCCACCAAAGCAAGCATCCTTTAATCGAGAAGATGCTCCTGGGCTCAAGCACTTTTTGCTCTAGGTCATAGCCAGGACACGGCCTCAGCCTCCTGAAACTGCTCCCTTCCTCGCTGGGCGTATTTTGGATTGTCTTTACACAGAGTTAAATTCACTGGGCCCAAGATGAATGGTCTTTCTATAAACAGGCCTTGGAGAAGTCCCCATTCCTAGACATTTGGATTCTGGTTAGATTGGGATCCTCCACGGGCCCTGCTCACTCTGACCTCTAGGGGTCAGGAAACGCGCACAGGGGTCACAGTAATGTCTTGCCAGTTAAACCAGCCCGTCCCTCCAAATATCTATGTGGGTTACTCAGGGGGAACAGGTTGTTGAGATGTTTGGGGAGGCATCAAGTGGAAGGTGGAAGCTTGTCCTTCGGAGACCATTTCAGTCTGTTTTCTGACCATGAAATGAACTGCACAGAAACTGATGGGCACTTGAGGGGGGCTTTGCTTAATAACAATAACTGTTCCTTCTCCCCCAGAACTTCAATTTGTCAACCAGGATCATTGTTGTAGCCTACTGTGTGCTCAGATCTTTGAGGGGCCTTTTAGGGAAACAAGGTCACGCTCCCAGTGTGTGAACCAGGCTCAAGCCTGGGAATTAGTGAGTTAGGGGAACGACAGATGGTCACCCATTCAAATAATTTTTTTTCTCAGATACTTTTTATTTCTCTGGAATGAATCAAAGGCACCCAGAGAACACAATACTATATGCCTGGACCTCTAGCTTGACTTCCTTTCTCTGACCTTTCCTCAACCTGGCTTTCCTTCTGCAGGAGGAGATTTGGAATTCCCATCAGGAAGAAAGGTTGGGGAAAGCACCAGCCCAGGTGAGCATGGGAGCCACATGGTCTGGAGAATTGAGAAAAGGAAAATCATCTCCAAATGCAACCAGCCAGGTGGGGGTAGAAGCTGGAGAGAGAAGAGGAAATCTGAAAAGCCCCAAGTCAGCAGGCTGCAGCGGGTGGTGAGGTGCGAGGAACAGTCAGCATTTGGAGCAATGGAGTTTGAGGCAGCCTTCGGATAACTTTCTGATCTGCAATAAAGTTCACATGACCAGAAAGATGTTTCTGATATTCCCTCATTGCTTGCTTCCTTCCTTCCCTCTCTTCGTGTCTTACATGTTCAGAGATTTTTCTGGGTCTTGGCTGAACAGTGGTGCTGACCAGATGGGGACCTAGGGGAGCCATCCTTGATGCCCAGACCACCTTCATGGCAGAGGCAGCCAGAGGCAGGGGCAAGCTTGCTGATGGGTTGCCTTCTCCAGCCTCCCCTGCAAGTATCACCAAGGCTTTTTTTTTTTTCTCCCCGAAATGGGGAATCCTGGCTGTCCACTTTCCAACCCTCAGCCTGTCAGTTCTTGACCCTCCGCAAACGGTCTAAACTTTAAAAAAGAAAAAAAAAATCGATGTGAAATTCCAGGCTTCTTCTGAGGCCGGCGCCTTCCGGCTGCAGCAGTCATGTGGCTGGAATCACGCATAATTGGGGCCTGACCACTATGGAAATATAAACAAGATGTTTACTTTCCTTACCAAAAGAAAATAAATACATAAAAAGGAGGCCTGGTTTCAAAGACGGACTCCTTATGAAGCATCAAAAGGACGCAATACCTGTGGCTTTAAACTCTTCCCTCAGGCCCGTGAGGGCTGGAGGACGGGGAGGCTGAACTCTGATCTAGGTGTTGCCTCTTGGCCTGCATTTCTGGGTGCAGCCCTAGGCTCCCTAGGGGCCAACACCACGGGTGTCCTGTCCTCACCGCTTGATTCCTGTGGCCAGCTCAACTCCAGACCTCTCTCAACCTCAGATTCCTTAGTCATGCATTTGCGACTGACTTGGAAGACAAGCAGGGAAGAGAACTCTGTGCTCCTAACTTCCAGGGACCAGCCTGGGGTGGGAGGAGCAGAATGTGGACTCCTTAGTAGATCAAACCTTGCCCAACAAGGTTGAGAAAATGTTTGTGAAGGCATGTTGAAGAACACGCCAGTGAGAGCCCAGAAAAGGATGGGGATTGATAGTCAAGGGTCGCAGGCAGGAGCGGGGAAGACAAGGGGAACTGCCGGTCTGGCAGGACACACCCTAACAGGAGAAGAGAGATTTTCCTTGAAGACTTGAAGGAACCGCACAGTGGTGAGGTTAGTCTATAGGCCACACTTTAATATTCTGGTTTTGTTAACACAAAGATAAGGAGGGCCACAAGTCAGCCCAGAAACCAAAGTGTGCGACCCCTGACTGCATTCATCCGTTCGCCGTTGCGGATCTGACGGCTTTTAGGACTATGTCATTATTAGTAAAAGATAGACACTAAATTTGTTGAGGAAGAAAAAGAAAGCCCGCAATGTTTTCTGAAGTACACCAGACGTGACTTCAAATTTCAACAGCCAGGTGTAGCATCGTCTAATAGTTCCAATAATTACCTTTCAGCCTCGCACGACTGCAAGCCCCAGAGCGCTGAGCCCACCAAGGGGCATCACCTCGTCCTAAAACCGGGAGAAGCCTAAGAAGCTGCGACTCTGTCAACAAGCGGGATTCTCCGACTCGCAGCCTTGGCAGCGGAGCTGCAACTGTTTTACTCATTTGGATCCCTTTCTTTGGGGACTTGGCTTAAGTAATCTGTCTAGTCGTTAATAAATGTAGCACGATCACTCTGGCCCAGATTACCCCGTGGCCAGCAGCCCAGGGGCTCAGCCATAGGCGGGCGGAGGCTCAGTCTGCTCCTGCGGTAGCCAGGAGGGGAGTGCCTTAGACTGGACCTAGGGCGGGAGCCGACAGGGCTTTATTTTCCCACCCAAGTCTCGTGCCGGCTGCTGATTTCCCCTTCCACTGCCAATCCGAAAGTCTTGCAGGAATATGCAAACAAAAACAAAACAAAACCTTCAGAATAAGAACAAGGAAAATGGGTTCTAGGAAGTGTGTTGAGAAAAGTCAGAAAGTGCTTTGGGAAAAAAAAAATCTGCATGTCCTTCAAAAGCGGTGGGCAACTCTTTTCTTTCCTGTGGCTGTTCCTTTCTCCATGGTTTCTTGCTCTCCTTTAAATCTCCCTCTTGGTGGTCTTGGGTTTTAGTTTCCAACTGGAGTCTCCGTGGAAAGCCTATCTGAGAGGAGGGAAGAAAAGGGAATAGGAGGGAGTTTAGTTTAACAACCTAATTCCAATTTCAAGGCCTAGGGTCTTCTGCCTCTGCTGTCACCACCACCAGATAGCGGCAGAACCCACCACAGAAGAGGAGAAAGAGGAGTTTCCTGAACTGCGTCCCCACCTGTCTGCCAGTTAGCCTTAACTGTCACAGCCGAGTTAGATAGAGTACCATTATCTGTGAACTGAGGAAAGTAAATCACAATATTCTCTCTTCTCACCATGGCAACTATAAAATGAATTAATATAGCCTTGTGTGATTGAAAAGTCCCATTAAATAACCACTCATCTAACCTCCTCTGGGTTTGGCTTAATACTACAGGAATAATTAGGGAACAGAGTGTTTAAATTAGTCACAAATGTAAGAAATGCACACCCTACACACACACACACACACACACACACACACACACACACACACACTTCTTTATACAAAGGGAAAGTAGTGGTTCAACCTGGATGAGTGTGGTTCCCCAGACTGTTCATTTCCAGACTAAAAAGACAACTGTGGGAGTAAGGTTCCTCTCTCCTGTTCTCCAGCTGTTCTATTTTCTCCTCTGCTGTCCCCTTTTCTCTGAGACTCATCCTCAACATTAGCATCAGGAAAGGGAAGAAGAGGAATGGGACTGGCCTTCCTGATGGCTCATTAGTCATCCTCTGCCACACATTGGGCTACACTGTCTGGTCTCAAAGAGCCAAAAAGTGGCTGTTGATTACTAGAGAACGGAGAAGATCTGTGCAGGGATTGCATCTTTATAGGAATGAAAATAAGAGGGGACAATTTCCTTCAAGAAATTTCCATGTCACCCACTAGAGGATTAAGGTCCACAGGATCAATGAAGTAGGGATCATAGGGGCTCAAGAGATGGAAGCAGCAATCAGAGTCTGCAGGAATCTGTACTAGGTCCTCTGCAAATATGGTACGGTTGTTGGCTTGATTTTTTTTTGTGGTACTCCTAACAGTAGGAGTAGGGGTGTCTCTGACTCTTTTGCCTGCTCTTGGGACCCTTTTCTTCCTACTGGGTTGCCTTGCCTAGCCTTGATATGAGGGTTTGTGTCTAGTCTTATTGTATCTTGTTTTGCTGTTCGGTGTTTGTCTTCAGCCGATATCCCTGGGAGGCCTGCTCTTTTCTAAAGGGAAAGGGAGGAGGAGTGGATCTGAGGGAGAGGGAATGTGGGGGGAGGCTTGGAAGAGTGGATGGGATGTATCATATGAAAGAAAAAGAAAAAAAAATTCCCATGTTACACTGCGTCCGTTTGAAGGCCTATAGATTTGCTTTGCTTCCTAGCTTTTCATGCCCTCCTACTTTTCACAGCAGAGTCCTCAAACCCAGAACCTAAGGCATTATCTTCAGAGATAGCCTCTTTAGAGAAGAACGATGTCTGCAGCACCCTGAGACCACTGCCAGCTGAAGGTAAAATTGCAGATCACTACCTATGGGAAGTGATCCTCCAGCTTTGCTCCCAGAAGCCCACACTCAGCACTCTGCCCTCTTTCAGCCTGGAGGGAGGTAATCTCTTCTGCTTACCTGAGAAGTAAAGCAATGTTGAGGCAGTTTTTGTGCATTAGAATCAAGTTAATTGCCTTATAGGCCTCCTTAGTTTTGAGTTGTTCCTACCCCAGGCTGAAGAGGGAGCTTTGGGTTCAGTTTAAACACCAGGAATAAAAACTCAAGTCCAGGAATTTGAATTTATATCTTCTCAAATCCTAATAGCATGGAGAGGGGAGAAAAAGTAACTTAAGTAACTTTTAGGGAGTCATTGTACTCTGGGTTCCTTTGGTTGATGAGAAATAGGAGCAGATGATCTGCCACCAGGGTTTCAGAGAGTATCTAGGGACTACAGTTTAAGATGCTGCACAAATCTTCAAGAGCTTAGGAGAGTATTTCTACCACATAAGCCACCCTTCAAGAGAGTGCAGAAGATGCTTATGGCAGGCATTTCAAGTTCCTCTGCATGTCTGCCATCAGGAGATCCAGCCTACAAGACTCTCAAGGCCATCCTGACCTAGGAGGCTGGGAGTTTATTTGAAGGCACAGACACTAGCTAGGGCTGTCCTCTTTAGACCGCAGTGTCCTTTCAGGCATAAAGGATTTAGAAATGTCCTCTTTGTAGCTTGTGGAGATGGAACAACATGAGCCTGTAAAATGTTTGGCACTTAATAGGCACTCATTAAAAGTTAGTTCCTTTCCTCTATGTCCTGGAGGTAGGGGGTGGGCACATTTTATTGCTAGTCCAGATGGAAGAACTGAGGTGGGGTTGTGGAGGAGCTGGGGAGGAACATTAACATCCCTGAACTTCTTGCACTGAAGCCCAGTGACCACCAGACTTAGCAAGAAAGCCAACTCAGGCCTGAGAGGTACTACAGAGAGCTCCATTCCAGGTCCAGTGCACCACAGGTGGGCTCCCAGAATTCCACTGCCTATTCCTCAGCACTCCCCCCACTCCCCACCCCCTGAGTTTATAGAGCAGCCCCAGCCCTTTTCCTTTAGCCCTCTAGGCTATAGCTGATGGAGATCAGAATAAGGGGTTGGGAACGCGGCATCCTGTACCCTTCGTGGCCAAATGCTACTCATTGGGTCTGGTGCCCAGGAAGGGAAAAGATGGCCACACACAGGTAACTAAGATGCTCAGGTTCCATTCCCTGAACAAGGACTGGAGCATGGCCTGCTTGTTTGTTTGTTGCCTCTGGGGAGAGAAGCCAGGATTTTGCTCTTACCAATCGATCAAGTGCTGTTCCTTTTTTTTAAAAAAAAAAAATCACCAATCTAATGTCAGCTATTCTGAGAAGCCATGCCTGTCCCCTTGCCTCCTCTTCCTATGTCTGACCCCCTGAACCCCTTGAAAAACTCTCACTAGACCTATGTGCCCAGCACCAAGTCATGTTACTAAGCCGGAGGCAGGGTGGTCAATCCAAGGAGGAGAGAGAAAGGCAGCAATCTTCGAGGCTGGAAGAACACTCTTCAAATCTGGAGGGCTGTGGGAGGCCTGGCTTGGAGCATGGAAGTGTTTAGCAGGTTCAGTGCCATTAGTGCCTAACAGGGTGTGGAAAGGAATATGAACGTGAAATACTGTGGGAAAGTGGAGAGTTTCCAAAGCAGGCAACAAGGCCCCTCTGGCCGGCCTGGAAGACCCAGAATCCCTAAGCCCCTTTGTGGAGCTCCACAAGTTGTGAACAGGAAGGCAAATGGGGAGGGGGGTGTGAAACGGGAGAGAAGAGAGGAGAGGAACACACTAATAGCACTCTGGTGGCAGATGGGGACCCAGCTGACAGGTGAGGGTAAAGCCCAGCTTCCTCTCCTCTTCAACTCCATCTTATGCAACGCATGTATGTGTATAAAAGATGAAAACAATATCTGACCCATCTTATTAAGCATCCTGCCAAACCAGCAAGGGCCAGAAAGCATGTGGGGGCTTCCTCAAGAGGTGGGGGTTAGAGCTGGATGCCAAGGCTCTAAAGTGATGGAGATGTCCCACATCAAACCCAGATCTAGAGTACCCAAAGTTGACTGCCCAGGCTGTGCCCTGTAGACAAAGGCTCGCTCACATTCTGACAATAATATACGGACAGAGAGGGGGGTTCTGACCACCTTGGGCCTCAGCAAACCTCAGTCTCAGGCAATAGAGGGAGCCAGACCTCCCACCTTCTCAACAGTCCTTGAGAGGTGCGACTTATTTTGAGTTTGTGACAGGAGGTGGGTAAAGGCACACCACTTTCCTCCCCACCTCCGCATGGAAGAGTAGAGAAATAAGCTCTAGGCTGGGTTCCCCTACTGCAAAGTAGAATTAACCTCAATTCCCGCATCCCTGGATATTCCTCTTTCTAGACACGAATTCACTCAAGAGGTCTTGAAGGCAACCACTCCAACATGCATTTGAGGAAGCCAGAAAGTGAATTCCTCCCTAAGAGACAGGCAGCAGCCCGGTACTCTTCGTTCCTGGACCCGTTTGAAGAGCTCATCCAGCGCTTTCGCAGCACAGGACTTCATCAGGTTATAGCTGGTCCCAAGTTAGAAAACAGCCCCATAGCGCATCGTATTCTATCTTACAAGTACTCAGTCACTATTCAAACGCGCGCTCGTCATTGGCTTTCCCTCGCAAACAACTCGGCTGTGCTCCACCAGCAAACCGAGGCTCCAGGACCCGCAGCGCGAAGAAAACCAGAAAGGGCGTGATGGGGGGGCTGAGCTAGGAGAACGGGAAACAAAGCTCGGACGCCAAGCGCAGCCGTGCTGACCTCCAATCCTCCTCCAGGACCGAAGCTTCCGAGTCACACCTGGCGCTTCTGCCCCCGGGGAGCACCGAGGACCGGCCGTGCAGTCCGTGGGAGTCGGCTGCGTCTGCGGCCCTGGGCAGGGCCGAGGCCGAGGGTGGGGAGCTCGCAGCTTCTTCCCCAGCCTCCTCCGGGTCTCCCCGCTGTGCGCGGGGCCTCGAAGCCCGCGGCCCGGGTTCCCCGCTCCCCTTCCTCCCCGGGTGAGCTCACTTCCTCCCGCACAGCTCCATCCCCCCCCCTCTGGCTGGGACCCGCTCCGGCCTCCAGCGTCGGCTCGGCAGCCACAGCCTCTCAGCCCGGCCTTCCCCTGGCTCCTTATCTGCCCTAGGGGCTTGTTGGACCCCCCGCTCTGGAGCCGGGAGCAATTCCTCCGGGAAGAAAGCGGAAATAGAAACCTCGGAACTCTGTGGCTTCTCGCAGCTCCCGCTGAAGGCCAGGCCTAGGTTCTCCTAGATGCCCATTTGACTCTGGGCCAGGGCCTGAGGCTCTTTTCTTGATTTCTCCCTTTCTGCCCCGCCCCCTTTCACTCTGTTTCTCACTTTAGCTCATTTGTATTTTTAAAATTCATATTAAAAAGAGCAATTTCGCGTTTAAAAGTCGACAGCAGCAGCGGGAGGAATTACAAATAGGATGGGGTTTAATTGGCTGGTAATAATCCTCTCACGTCCTATAATTAGACAGAGATTCTA